GGAGGAGGGGGGGGGGGGGAAGAGAACAGGATGTCCTCAGTGAGTACGCGGTCTGAGAAGACCACACAGTTACTGAGCATCTCTGTCAGATGATTTTGTTTTGTGTGTGTGTGTTTTTTTTTTCCCCCCACCCCCAATGCATACACACGTTGGTTTCCTCTGCCATGAGCATTCAGACCTTTGGCCGCTCTTAGGTACACTCCCCTCAGCCCCATCGCAGCCCACTCCACCAAGATGAGGTGGGGGGAGGAGGGGGTGGATGTGAAGCGGAAAACGAGATGCTTTGAATAGTTATTATTAACAAAACGAACACCTTCTTGGAGGGGGTGCAATTGTGTAGCGCACGATGTATTATTATTATTTTGTCGTCATCGTCCTTCTTCTCCCTCTTACTATTTTTGTTGCATTTTTCTTGTTTGGGTTTGGCACACTTCTGCCTCCTCTGCTCTTATTGTACTCGCTGTTGTCGTCGTGTTTCGGCTCACAGAAGCTAACGGACGGTCAGTGAGAGAGGGAGAAAGGGAAGAAAAATAAAAGAAAAAAGATGGAAGAGAGTCAACCCCATGGTTATGCGCTGTCCTCAGGCGATGTGATGATCGACATGGCAGCATCTATCTTTGGGGTCGTTTTGCAGCGTGCTGTCATGGCACCGTCGTACCGCGTCACCGTCCTAGCGGCTGTGGAAGGGGAGTTGGTACGTGAGGGTCGGTTGCCGCCCACCGGGTTTGGCGGCATCATTGGCTGCGTGCGGCGCGTCTACGCAAAGGAGGGTCTCAGGTCCTTTTTCCGTGGGTTCCTGACGGACGCCGTTCTCGCCGTGCCGTCCGCGATGATGGAGGAGATGAGCTCTTCGCTGGTCTCAGCAGCGGTGGAGGCGATGCTGCCTGTTGATGCCGTGCAAAACATGCCAGTGTGGGTCTACGTCGTCCTCTCGCTTACTTCCACCTCGACTGCTGTTTTGCTGGCCACACCGGTGACTGGGCTTCACAACACCATTGTGACTAACTACGTGGGAGACATCGTCGCACCCCACGCCGACGCCGACGCCGGGAAGGCGAATAAGAATGCCAAGGAAGGAAATGGTGTGGAGGAGCATGAAGAGGCTACAGAGGAGTCGTACAAGTACGACTCCGCGACTGAGACGGCAGCGAGTATCCGCAAACGATGCGGGTTTCGTGGATTCTACTACGGTCTTGGGCTGGATGCGATGGCCGTGTTTATGTACCGAGGCACGTATTATTACGGACTGCAGTTTCTTCCGGTGATGCTGCAGGAAAAGTACCCGTACGCCGTCGCGCGCTCCTTGGCTATTGTCGCCGGATGCATCACGCAGCCATTTGAAGTCATCAGTCGCCGCATGCAGCTCACCGCGTCCTCGGGGAAGGGGAGGTACAGGAACATGGTGGACTGCGCCCGCACGATTGTGGCAGAGGAGGGCTATCGCGGGTTGTGGGCGGGCCTTCGAGCGCGGCTTTTGGTGACGTGCGTTGGGATGGTCGTTGTTGAGCTGCGCCGTTTTATTTGAGCTGCGGTCACGGCAACAACAACAACAACAACGACGGCGAGAACCGACGTGTGGGAGGAATAGCGAAGGGGAGAGAAATTTGTCTGGGGTTGGGTGAAGTAAGTAAGCAAGCAAGAGAGGAAGGGAGAGGGAGTGGGGAATTGGGGCTTCTTTGATTTATCTACCTTCCATTTCCAAAGAACACGTGCGGCCGTTGAGAAGGGCGGGGGTGCACTAGGGCAGCGTCAACGGTGGGGTGTGTGAGGGCGCATCTGCGAAGTGGAGCAGGAAAAGAAGGAAAGAGAGCGGCTGAGCACGACACATGGGCCAGCCGTTATCTTTTCTCCCTTGTTGTCTGTGTGTTGTTGTTTTTTGTTTGTTGTTGTTGTTGCTCTTTTTTCCGCTTTGTGCCCCCGCCTTTCTGGCGCTTTTAAACGGAAAGTCGTCTTTGTTCTCCGCCTAACCCCTTCTGCCTCTGGCGAACGTTGAACGCACACGTCATCTCCACCTTCCTGATTGTGTGCGCGTGTTTGTTCTCTTCCTTTTTGCTTTGTTTTGTATTTTACCTTCTGCTTCGCGCGTACTGCGGCACAGCCGGTTGCTGGCTTTCTCTCTCTCTCTCTCTCTGCACGTGTGGGTGCGTACATGCTGACGTCCAGTATGTCTGTAAAGTCCCTCGCCAATGCATGTCTCTCTTTCCTTCCTTTCTCGTTATGGTTATGGTGTCACCGCCGCTTCCGTCACTTTGCGCGCACCCCCATCCGCGCCCCTCTCTGTGCGTGGGGTGCCTCTGGTGAAGTGTGCAAACGCGTACGCAGGGGGGAAGTCCAGCGGTGAAGCGTGACGAAAGTAGTGGGAGGGGTGAGGGCAAACGAATCATGGTCAGCAAGTACCGTCGTCTGCTCCAGCACGACCCTCGTGAGGAGAATGACCAGGTCGACGGAGAGAGTGATGACATGAAGCAGCAGCAGCAGGTGAATAGCCATTTACACAAGAACTCAGTGCGGAGTAGTGCTGCCGCTGCCGCTTATGATGAAGATGAAGATGATGGCATTATCCCAGATAACGTGCAGGAGGAAGCTGGAACGGAGGGGGAAGGAAGGCAAAAGGGGATGAAAGATATTCACACAGCAGATTGTGTCACAGGTGTGGCTGCCTCCCCAGCGCGCCGGTTTGGGAGAGGGCAAAAAGAGGGGAGTACCGAGAGAATCGCAGTGAGGGACCCTGCGGAAGTTGCGTGTAGTCATATCGCGTCAAGGGGACTTCACACGGAAGATAGTCCTAATACTGCCACCAATAAGGATAATAAGGATAACATTGCTGTGGGTGACGGCGAAGAAGAGGATGAGGATGAAGAAGAAGATGAAGAGGGGGAGGAGGATAGCGAGGACGCCACAGTGACAGGGGGTAGTGGTCCGCGGTTGTATTCCTGCGACGCTTGCCCGCGTGCCGTCTTCACCACACACGCTGCCCTGCTCTCCCACGCGGAGGAGCGGCACGCAGAGCTTGTGCCTGACCACGCGCGCCTGCGACGCCTTGCTGAGAAGGTAAGTAAGGTCTGGACGCGGGCTCTCAAGGCACGCCGTGACGTCATTGCTTTGTGGGGCAAAAAGGTTTTTATGATTGCCGCCCAACGTGATGCGGGGGAAGCAAAAATGCAGGAGGCTCACCGAGCCCGTGCGCAGTTGGAAACAGTCGTGCGTCGCTGGCACGAGAAAGCGCGTGTCTTCATCTTTGGCAGCTCCGTCGCGATGGGTGTGTGGGACGGCATGGCGGACATTGACTTTGCCGTGGTGGATGTGGAGGCCTTAGACGCCGGCAACTGGCCGCCGCTTGAGAAGAATGCTGTGCGCTCCATCACGGAGCTTCTGCGACGCGCGGGGTTTTCGTTTGTTAACCTTGAGCCCATTAGTCACGCGCGGGTACCGATCATCAAGCACCATGCATCGTCACCCATCCTTACCGTGGCACGCAAGGACGCCGAAGATGTTGTGGCTCGGAGTGTGCGGTTTGTGTTGAACGCACCCGCCTCAAGGGATGATCGGGTGATGCTGGAGGGAAGCGTGCGGGATGCCGTGGGATACGCAAATGTGCAGCAGGTATGGTGGAATCGCACGGGGGATGTGATGTCCATGACACTGGACAGCACAACAACGGCAATTCGAGCGGCGATGTGCTCACCCGCCTTTGTGACACCCGCCCTACGTGCAAAAGTGCAGCCGGTGCACGACGAATGCCGGCCGGAGCTGTACAACGTTGACTTTGACCTCAGCTTTCGCGCGTTTGGTATTCGTAACTCCAACCTGCTGCGTCAGTACCTGATGAGCCACCCGTGCGCCCGCCCCGGGGCCGTGGTGCTGAAGGACTGGAGCAAAACTAGCGGGGTCAACAACTCCGTCAACGGGTACTTTACAAGCTACGCAGTCAACATCATGTGGATTTATTACCTCATCCAGAAAAAGTATGTCCCCTACGTGGACCCGCTTGATATTTCAGCCTCGTTGGTGAATGATACAAATGTTGATCCCAAGTACACCCCCATGCTAAACCCCGCACTCACACCAGAGGAACTAAGCATCTTATATGAAAACGCCGGTAACATGTTGGTGGGTTTTTTCCACTTTTATTCGTTTGAATTTGACTGGGAACACCACGTCATCTCACTTAATCGCCCCGGCATCACGACGAAAAAGATGCTCGGGTGGCATGTGGAGGATGTCGTGCCACCCATGTCCTCTTCACTGGGTGGAGGCGGTGGCGGTGGTGGTGCCAATAGCATCAATTGCGGGGTGAGTGGTGGTGGCAGCGCTCCTTCCAAGCGACACCCCACGCGCTACGAGCTGTGCATTGAGGACCCGTATGAGGAAAACCTGAATCTGGGCCGCCACATTGGTATCACAAAGTCGTTGCGCGTGCGTACGGAGCTCTACCGTGGACTGTTGTCGCTTTTAAAGGATGGGGAGAAGGAGTCCTGCGTCTTTGCCTCAACAGATAGGGCGGAATCCGCAGACTCTGCAGGGCCGCCGTCGTCCAAGCTGCCGATGCGGGCACTGTTTAGGCTTATGGCACTAACAACACAGGCCATTGCGGAGGCTAAGCGTTTGTCCAGTAGTCATGGCGCGAGTGACGAGCTTACGGGTGACGGTGCCATTTGTGGGACGGCCACTGACGCGTTAACCCCGTCATTGTCGCAACTGGCTTCGGCGTCCACGCCGAGGTTGGCGGGCGTCCCTGAGAAGCAGCTGGAGAAGATTTTTCTCGAAAAGGCGGCGTTGGAGTACCAACTCACACGAAAGGTGTGGAACTGGCATCAACTCATCCACCGCCTAGGGTACAAAATCCATCGTGGCCACGTGGTGCCACGACGGGAGTTGGGAGTGCGCTGTTTCGCCAGGCGAGACGCCGAGGAGTCACCGGGTGACGCACAGGGCAACAAGAATCCGGCGGCGCGTGGTCGAGACTTAACTGAAAGCGTTTTGCGCGACCTCAGTCGCGGCTTCATGACGCTGACGCCGGAGTGGGTAGCTTGGTCCACCCCCTGGGCAAGCCAACACTTGCGTGGTTACAGCCGACTGACAACCACTGCAGATGCGCCCGCTTCCGTAGGCGTATCCGTTGTCCCGTCAGCTGCGGCTGCTTCGTCGAGTGGAGAGCCTGCGATGGGTCCCATGCGAGGGACGCGGCGCAATGCATTCCCCATGATAAGAAGGACTGTGCCAAGGGCAAGGGCAATGCGGGAATGCATGGTGTCATCTATTACGCGTCTGGGTGGTGGTGTCAAACGCGCCTTACTCTCAACATTTATTCGATAGAGGTAGTTATGCGTTGTTGGTGTTGTTGTTTTTATTCCCCCCTCCTCTTTTTTTTTTGTTGTTGTTGTGGGTACGATTGCCGATTCTTCACAGTGTTGGTAATAAGCAGGGAAGGGAGGACAGGTGTGAGCTGCCTTCCCGTTTTGCGCGTTGTGGTGCACACATGCATGCTTACACGTATATCGATAAATATGTGTGCTCACAAACGCAGAGTCATGGACAATATATATATATATATATGTCCTTTTTGCTTTGTCTGTCCCTGATGTTCATCTTTTTGACTGTCATCTGCTCCTCCCGTTGAATTTGGCTTCTTGGTTGTTTTTCTGCCGTGTTGCCCGCGCCCTCACCCTCGCACCACGCTGCCCATAAGGAGGGTAGGGGGCTTCGCGGTAGGAGAAGCCGGCAACAATATGTCCCTCTTTCAACGCGGTGCGATTCTCCGCGCGTACCACTACGTGCACCCCAAGACAGGGAGGCCCATCCGCCAATTTCGCCGCTACGGCGACCCTCGCTTT